TACAGTGAGGTGATGGTGTTTTGAAGTCGGAAGTCAACTGGCGAATAATAGACTTTTTGCCGTGTGAGTATACGTTGACCAGGGTGCACCACGTGGAGGTAAGTCTATCACACACCCCACATCAAATATCATCTTCCGATGAAAAAATAACTGTAAAAAGGAAAGTCTCTCAGTTAGCAAGAAATACTCGGAAAGCCGTAAAATTCATTGGAAAAAGTTTGAAACATTTGTCTGACGGTAGTAACTTATATCAGCAATATATATATTTGGCCAGGTGTGGCCTAAAGATAAACTTTATCATTGTTTACATTTGAAATATAAACAAAGCAAGTTTAAAGATATTGGAGCGTCGGAGTTATACGGAAAAAGTCTACATAGAGGAGTGCGTCATGAAGAGTGGTAAAGATTTTCCGGAAATTTAAAAGAGATTTAACTAAATATTAAATTTTGTTATTAAGTCAAAAAAGTTCTCAGACAAATTCCATAATGTATATATCTAACAATTTATTACATTAATTTCTCTATGTAGAATTCAATGTTGTCCACACAGGGTGTGCGATAGACTTACCTCCACGTGGTGTACCCTGGGCAATGTATTCTCATACGGCAAAAAAAGTTTATAAACTAGCAGTTGACTTCTGACTTCAAACTACCATGACCCGACTGTATGTCATATTCGACCCCTTTCGCAGTACTCATCTTACCCTTTCTCTGTCTTTGTGTCTGCCTGACTCTTTTACACCTTCGAATTACTCTTCTGTTCCCCCTCGCCACTTTTTCTCGCTTTAATGTTCTTCTCCTCTGTGAAGCTCGAAGTCAGCTAAAGGGCTTATGATAAGTATTATAAAGCCGCCATTAGAAACAAATAAATGTCGTCTACACAATTTTGTAGTCAATATTTTCACCTGTAAATTTCCGAATGTGGAATATTGGAGGCTGTCTCTAGCGATATAAAATTACATACCTCTTCGCTTTATCTAAAGAGTTAAATTGTGTACCTTTAAGGTGGCCTTGCAGTTTAGAAAGAAATAACTGAAATAGCTAGGTCTGGACAATAAGGAGGATGTGGAAATGTCTCCCATCGAAATTCGTGCAAAAAAATCCTTGACAACTCTCGAAGAATGTGTAGAGGCATCATCATGATGAAAAAAATTGACTTTTTTTTCAAAACGCCTTCACAATAATTTGTGCATATGGGAAGTCTACCCATCGTAGCACTCCTTTTGAAACGCAAAAAATACAGTGATCATGATCTTCTTAACGGATCATTAAGCTTTGAACTTGGCAGGTCCAGATGCTTCCTTTTGATGTCACTCTTTTGACTGAATTTTGTTTTCTGGATCCCGTCGAGACATCCAGATTGCATCTCCGGTAACACAGCTCTTGAACAAATGTGTTTCCATCTTCGCCAAAGTTGTTAAGGAAACCATAGCTCTCCGTATTAGCTGCTGTTCGTACAACGCTTTGGGCATCCATCGTGTCCACCGCGAGCTTACTCAAGCCCAGGTTTTCAGTGAGAATTGAAAATGCTAATGCGTATGCGATTCCTACTTCATTTGCAATTTTCTCAATAGTACCTCGTTCGTCTTATTCTGCACAAGAGAGATGATTTCTTGCTGTGATGGGTCTCCCACCCCTCCTCATGCTTCATCATCAAGTTCCGCTCTTTCTTTTTTCATCCTTTAATCCATCCATAACTGACTGTTCTACATGGCGCAGAGTTCCTATAAACCTGCTTTAAAGTTCTATGGTCTGAACAGGTTTCCAATTAATTTTATTCAAAAATATTATATTTGTTCTGGTCTCAAAACTTGGCCTTTGAAGGGTTGAAAATTCCTAGCTATTTTGAGATGAAACCGGTCTTGATCCTGACCCCACACAAGGCGAAAGGGCAGTTACTAAGGCAGCTCCAAGGACATGTTTGAGCTTGCAAATCTTTGTTCTATTTAAAGTTGGCATGTGTCCGAGACATTTTTTACTCATCGTCATAGACATTTATTTATTTGTTTTAAATGGCAGGCGCTTTGATAGTCACCATTAGCCATTTAGTTGAATTGGGACTTCACAGAGGGGAGGAACAGGCAAAGTCACAAAACGTCGAGAAGGGGGGAACAGAAGAGTGATCGCCAGACGTAACATAGACAGAAAGACACAAAGGCAGAGAAAAGGTAGGATGAGTATTATGGAAGTGGTGGAATATGAAGAACAGTTGGATCATGATAGTTTGAATTCAGAAGTCAACTACCGAATAATAGACTTTTTGCCGTATGAGAATACGTTGTCCCGGGTGCACCACGAGGTAAGTCTATCGCCCACCCAACATTTTTTACTCATCCTCATAGGCATAAAATTAACAGTAGGTAGTAACCGCCACAAACCACTTTGTTATTATCACCAGGCTTTCAACACTGTTAATTCTACTAAAAAATTATCTTCGCGATAGACTTACCTCCACGTGGTGCACCCTGGGCAACGGATACTCATACGGCTAAATAGTCTATTATTCGGCAGTTGACTTCTGACTTCAAACTACCATCACCACTGTATGTCATATTACACAGCTTCCACAGTACTCATCTCACCTTTTCTCTGCCTTTGTGTCTGTCTATCTCCACTACATCTGTGAATCACTCTTCTGTTACCCCTCCCGAATTGTTCCCACTTTGATTTTCCTCCCTCTGCGAAGCCCAAAGTCAGCTAAATGGCTAATGCTAAATATTCAAAACGCCTACCATTTGAAATAATAATAATAATCTTCGCTATGCCCAAAATACACTAGTCACATCCTCTTGTTTTACTCGGTTCTAAGTTTACGTACCTCTAGCCTACTAACCAGCCACCACTTCGACAAAAGTGTAAATATCGAAAATCCTATTTAACCAATTAGTCAATAACCACCAGATTTCGTGAGCACAATAAACGCAAAGTAGTGGAAAACATATGCATGGACAATTCTCAAAATCTAATAAAACTATGGCTCCTCTGATATCATCGAATTTAAACTGCGCGTATTCTTGGTCTACTTTCCTTCATTCTAATTTGATTATGTTGGACTGCTTTGCGTTTCTCTACTGCAAATTTACACAAATATTTCATGTGAAAAAAATTAATCTAGCTCGGTTTAAATCTGATATGAATCTAGGTTTGTTCTTTTATTTTCCGCAACTGCAAGTGCCCAAACCAAGATATGATCATCGATATAAATTCACGAACTTTTAATATAGATTTTCACTTCTAGATGCACCAATTTGCTATTCTCTTTCTCCAGTCTGAAAATTTTGATATTTCAGGACCTGATCCGATTCACTACCAGTAAAGAAACCTTTTCATCATTCCAATTCAATAACTGAAGTACTAGCAATGTGTTTTAATCGCTTGGTTTAAAACGTCGACGATATAATAAGGAAAAATTCGTTTTTTATGTTCAATAGAATTCAAAATTGATTTGTGTATGCGAAGCAATACGTAAAATTAATAAGTACGAGCACATGATTCCCATTACTTCCACTTTAAAAATCGAAAGCAAAGGGACAGAAGCTCCAATCTATATTTCTATTATTATAAAATCCGAAACCATAAATCCATTTCTTCTCATCCAATACAACTTCATAATACCATTACAAATAAAGGGTAATAAAAAATAAATGAATTTTAAAACAATCCACATGAGGTGTGAACACTAGTTATTGAGCGTTTTCTCACTGGCTTGTTGGAACAAACTAAAAATATTAATGAAATGTATCAACTACCGTTGACATTTAAGTAGAGTGCATTTCAATAAAGAAACAGCAAAACAAACCTGTGAAGCTTTTTGAGGCCAAATAGACAATTCTCATCACGAGAAGGCATTTCGTTTCCCGTGTTCTCCACTGTATACCATCGAGCAAAATCAATAAGATGGAAGCTAATAATAGGTTTAATATCACATCCTTGCCAATCATAACATAAGAAAAGAGAAGAGGCGATAAATCGATGTGTTTCCTGGGTTTCGAACCAAGCCTTCAGGCTACCTACGCGTTCTGCAAACATGCGGCCTAGAATAGACCTTCGTTGAAGCTTAACCTTCTCGTTGTCTACTTTGCCATCCAAAAAGAGACAAATACCTTGATTTAATAGAAAAATCAATTGTGTAAGCTGGAGAATCGATAGCAAAATTAAAGTAACACTAAGCACAATCAACCCTTTTCGTAGATGGTGTCAGGACATAAGGATGACCCATGATTTCGGTCATAGAAGATGCCATCCAATTTCATTCCGGTGATAAAAAATCCTAACTGTCTACGCCAACGGTACTTTGCCTCTTCTGTTTTCATTTTATTTGGTGACGCAGTGGGGACGTAGCTTTGTTGACCTAATTTCACGTCCATCGAATTGGGATTTCGCATTCCATATTGTACATTGTCCAGCGCGATAAAATATTCTAGGAGAAACAAAAATATGTCATAATAGCCGATAACAGCTAGTTTACACCAGCCCTATCTGTTGGAATCGGCTTAACTCAGCTGAGCGTTTTCTATGATTATCAGGTGAATTTGGAGTGGATTAAGAAGAAGCAAATGAATGCAAGCATTCATCATTGAGAACCAACGTCTGCCACACCTCTCATCCACTGCCTTAAAAGTTAAGCTCTAACCGAATGCTCCCGGAAATCTTGTGAAATGAGATAGTCCAGAACAAAGAGATTAATAAAGACTGGAACTATACAGGAATCTCGATATCAAGACTTAAATTCGTCGAAGAACCTTTCTTTCATCATCGGTAAGAAAGTCGCGTGCTACCTATCCTAATTGTACCTATGATAGGACTTTATTTTTCAAGAGTTTTTATACAAAATGGTAAAGAATAAAATTAAAGCAGTCCAACGTTTCAATTGGTTTTCAAATCGAAATTAGATAGTGATTAAATCTAAGTCTGCAATTTATCGATTGACTACCATCGAGTTAAGTGAAAGGCCATGAGCATATACAAAAAATGATGAATAGCTTGAGCGGATCATAGATGCTAAGATGACTAGCAATTCTAATGTGTGGGGCCATGCAAGTTTGAGATGCATTTTAATAAACAGCATAGAATGACGTCAAATACAACCAGATAAGCGGTATATCGACTCTATAGCCTTTCTCAAAGTCCCTGTGAAGTCACCTAAGAGCACTAGTAACATCATCTGACTTGGGCAGGCCTTCGAAAATCTCTTGCCCAACTACTCTCACATTGACCAGAATTGGCCGTTCATCTACATGAGCTACGATTTGGCATACGTGCACTTTAACCGCCTCCCTGCAGACGCACATACGGGGCTTAAGAACTGCTTTTATTACTCCTAAGGTCTTATTTTAACCTTCGACAATATAGCGCTCTCCCATGCATGGCCAATTTATCGTCAGGTGAAGTGTGCACTGAACTCGTATCAGCATTTAATCTCACTAGGGAGTGAAATTGCTGTTTGCCTCTACAAATATACCGTTGGCGATGTATTGTTGTATTTTTCAAAAACGGTATAAAAACTGAAAGAATCAAACTCCGTATTTTTTAAAACCCCTATGAAATCTGATGTGCTTAAATCGTTTTAACTAATATCAACCAGCTGACTCTTGATCCAGAAAGGGGGAAAATATCAAACTGGCATGATCAACCACTGTGCAAGAAGTTCTAAAGACCATCAACAGTGGTGGTTCATTCAGGAACCAAGGGATCGAATTCTTCACTCGAAATTAGAAGATTAGAATACCACTCCCTAGAAAAGCATACAACAAAACGTCTCCAGCACTTTTAATAAGCTATTACTCCATTAACTACTTCAATTCGATCGGGGTGTGTGAAAGACTTACCTCCATGTGGTGCACCCTGGACAGCGTATACTCATACGTCAAAAAGTCGATAGACCGGCAGTTGACTTCTGACTTCAAACTACCATCACCCCACTGTATGTCATATTCCTCCACTTCCGCAGTACTCACCTCACCTTTTTTCTAACTTCGTCTTTGAAACTCTTCTGTTCCTCCCCCCCCCCCCCTCTTGACTTTCTTTTCACTTTGATGTTCCTTCCTCTCTGTGAGGCTAATGATAACTATCAAAACGTCTACCATTTGATATAAATAATATAAACTTCAATTCGATCATGTAAAGAACAAAAATCCGAACTCTCAAAAAGATTTTTTCCGGAGATTTATGCGCACATATATAGAAAAGAGAAAGCAATCGAACAAGGCGACCAAGTGGTTAAAAGTCATTGGTAGATAAGATTAGTCAACTGTGAAAGGGGATACTTGACGTGGGAGCCTTGGGGGTTGATTCTTCAATAATAAACAACAGATGAATTTGCACAATTGGAAAAAGATTGGTTTGCGCACCTTCTAGACACTATGCAACCGCTAGTGGGTCACGAACTCGTTGTTAACTTGGCAGGAAAGTAATTTAATATCTTTGTCATTTGCATACATCAATAGCATTATTATTATTAATGCTTTAAGTGAAAAAGAAGAGAATTGCAATGCTTAATTATGGGAAGCTTCGACAAAAAGTTTTACTATAAGTCGAGAAAAACTATCCGTTTGTGGGGTGCTTGCTTTTAGATGATAGGCGATTCATCAGTGTTTTCACATCTCACACGCGTTTGTACAATCAATAGGACAGAGCAACTCTAAAGACTATTTCCAATTTAGCTTTGGTTAGTGTTCCAATAAGCGAGAGAAGGATTTCTTATTACGACCGTACCCTCCCAACAGAACAATGATTCACACAAGCAGTGAGCCTCCTAAGACAGTTTGCACAGATTTGTCGAGGCGTCATAAGTCAACGAGCGACGATATTTCTCAGAAAAGCTTTCCAGTCGATCAGTTAAGCCTTAATCGTTCACAGAAGCTACAATACATGAACGGTTGATAGACCATGTGCTCATCTAACTGGAAGTATGACTAACGCGATTGCATGCATCCAGTTTGTTTTCGAACGCCATTTCCATGGCATATTTATCCGGTAACAACTTGCAGTTCCGTAATAATTTATCAACATGTTTAGTCAACTCAACTATTCATTATACACATTGAAAATAAAATAATTTCAGGGGTAAATAATATGCCCATTCCAACGGAACTCAGGACAAAAAAATGCACATTCTAAAGCTCGTCGACGTTATTATCTGTCAATGAAGTTGTCTTCAGATTCGTACCAACAAGGCACCTCATGGGAGAAAATGAGGATGGTATAGAATCCAAGGCAAGACAACTCACGTGGAAATGTGATGGACTGTGTGTTTTGCCTTTTCTTTGACAAGTACTATAAACCTTGGCCGCACTTTAAGTGGAATTGAAAAACACGAACGGATGTGACCCAACATCTGGACCCCACGAAAACAAAGTAGTCAAAGTTGTCCATCTGAATTTTTCGCATGCAACGATTTCGATAGAGTTCTTTCAAAAAGAATACGTGGGATATTTAACTTATCAACCCCTCTTCCATAAGTTGGTTGGAAGCTTGAGGTTTAGTAAAAAAAATATCAACACAATATACTAACTTCAAATCTCAACTTATGATTATTCAAAAGATGGGGATAGCCCAAACGTATAATTTCCCAACCTTGGCTACTTTCGAATATATGCTTTCAACTACCAGCAGACAAATTTGAAACGGTTCGGAAAGTCTTCAATTACGAATATGAAAGATGAATATCAAATGTCCCCCATGAAAGAATTAATATATTACCACAATCGCCCAAAAGCCTTCACAACTAAGCCGAACCAAACGCTTTCAACGCGAGTAGATATCTTAAGGCGAAGATGATGGTTCTACAGTTGAAATCGCTCAATCTGTCGCTCCCTTCACCCCCCCCCTCAAAAATTGTTTATTGATAAGTACAAGCCTACTCACGTAAAACATTTTTAATCAAATACAAATACATATCTGCAAAAAATTAACTTTTGATCAATAATCAGAGAAATCCATAACATTTCCTGGGACTGCACACAAATCCGACAAGAATATTTCATCACAAAGCGAGATGAAGACAAATTGAGTTTACTTTAGGTTTTGTTTATGTCGCTATGGTAATGTCGCACCTACTCATAGACTAAATCATTAGTTGCCGAAGTAACACGATGTGCTATATTGCAATATAAGGTAAAGAAAAAGTAATATGTGATTATGTTAAAGTTATATTCTTTCCAGAAAGCTTGAAATTTAAATTCAGTCACTGAGTTACAAAGTGAGAACAAATCCTGAAATTTGAATTCTACTACTTATAAACTAAAAGTTGAACCATTTAAATTCAGAAATTTTACACAAAAAAGCTTTCTAATTATTCCTATCATTCGTTTGGTACATTTCATTACAACTCTCATTGGACCAATTACTAATTTTAGGATTTCTCGTAGTCCGATACCTTATCACGATAAAAATTATAAATAGCTATGACGTGGGCAGTAGTGATAATAACAGAAATGTTAACAGGCGAATTTAATTATATATTTAGTAGATTTGGGTGGGCGAAAAAGATAATCAACCCCAAAACATAATAACAAAGAAAATAATTTTTTAAATATTTCCACAAGAGTAACAATTCTTTCATACCTGCAAATCCTAAAAGAGAAGGTGACGTCTTCAAATCGACGGCAGTCATAAGCGAAAATAATGAAAGTAACTTAGTCTAATGGGTAGAATCTTGCGGTTAAATAGACAGCGCAATTTGTATTATGACTACATATTCGAAAGTAAAGCGTTAACCAACCTGCACTCGGTAAAAAAACTCAGTTGAATAAGCCGATGAATAAACTTTGAATACTGTGAAGGCAAATTAAGAAAACTGAAGGTCAAAGCAATAGAACAATATCCCTTGCAAAGAGGTGTATAACACCTGGCATGCGAAATCCCAAAAAACAGTGAAATTATTCTCCAGTTATATTCAGTTACTTCCTTCGTTTCATTTGTTAATAGGGGATTGATAAGCAAATTCTTGGTCATAATTAGGAAGTGTTTATCAACTCGAGAGAGACTCGAATTCTGCCATCGGCTATTCGACTTATTTGGTGTGGACTGATGGGCACTAAATTCGTGGCCCCTAAATCCGCAGACTGGCAAGCAGTGAAACAGTAGTAAACGTAATAGGCCAATCTGACGTTCCTCTTGTTTAAACACTTTATCACGATTGATAAGAGTTCTATTAATTAGGCTTAAACAACAGTGCGTATAAAAATACACGTTTCAAATACATAAAGAACCTTGGTAAGAGATTGGTAACCAATAAAACCAGATTTTCGAATTCGCATAAACCTAAATTAAAATGCTATATACTATATACGACTGCTTCTGCTACAAAATAGCTATACAATACATAAATATACAATAGTTGATAAAATAATTAGCTAAGACTGGGAAATTCTGACCAACATTGTGGAAAGTCAAAACTTAATAAAAATCCAAAGTTGGTTTGACACCATATATGTACACTTAAAGCATTTAAAAAGAGCAAACCTTACCAGCTAATTATAAATAAAAATGCTTCAAGATAACTTACGTCTAGTCGTCGGACGATGAAAAAGACCACGATATGCGGGTAAAAAATCCCGAAGGGTTTTGAGGAAAGGGTCACTATTTCCGCAAAACACTAGGTGATAAAATCGAGCTTCGTTATAACCCTTCGGTTGACTAGATAAGATCTTGTAGAGTATCCTCTTAGAATGATCCATAAGAACTAGAAATAACATTGTCGCTAATTTGTCAACAAACAATCATGTAAATAAACGAAAAATAAGAAATTGTGTAAAGTTAAGGAAATAAATAGATAAATTCTAACGCCTTAAAGAAAAATCAAATGAAATTCAATGCATTCTTAAGGAATTCTTACACTTGTCTTTGTGGGGCTTGTTTGGATTGATACCTCCGACCAGGCTATTAAAATCATCCAAGTCACCTGGTAATAAATGGGCAGCCAGCTCACCATTAAGTAAAAATTTGGGCTCATTGGTAGATTTATCTTCCATTGTGCTAAAACTCTCGATAACGGCAGATCCAAACAGCTAAGACAATACCCGGCCATTGATCGAGAATTCAGATTGCCGCCTTTTTATCATTTTAATAATAGGCCAATGAGATCGAAGGACAAATATTAATATTAACAAATTGATATAAATATTTAAAAGTAAGTCTTTCGTATTTAAAGAGAAAGATGCTTTTCATAATATTTGACGAGCCTCACACTACACTTCTGGCATTGCAATTGGTAACCTAATTAAAATTCAAGTAAATAATACAGATTGCAAAGCTATCTTGGCTCCATAATATCAATTTATCTGTAATAACTAATAAAGTCATTTTTTAAAAATTGTATGATTAAAAGATATCTATGGCTTACTAAACACCACTAATTATTATTATTAGTTATTTATAATTATTTTTATTAACAGATTAGCCAAATATATAGCATTAGCATATTTATTTAAAGTTAAATTGCAATTTTATAGAATGAATTTTACGTTCTGCAAAAAAAATCGACTATTCCTCTTACTATTCATATGGCTAGTTTCATTTAATAAACCCCCAACATATTGGCCTTTGACACCGTGATGAATGCTTTGATTAGAGATAGGTTACTACAATAGTACATTGGTAACGTCCATTTTGTCAAAAACACAAATAATAACTATATAAAATACTCTCGAAGCAGTTGAATACGGCAAGTGGAAATGTTTTATAAGTGTCTGTTTATTAAAATAATAAATGTTCTAAGAGAATATATTTACTCTAGGTGGGAAAAAATTTATTTTGGACGTGGAAGCCGCTATATGCAGATATCCAAAAGCGCTTGATAATTAGATATTATCGATTGTAAATAAAATCTTTATAACATTTTTCACGGACGGGCTGACTGTGTTGCGTGGCTGAGCATACTCACTTACACCTTTATCTATCAACGCAGCGAGGCACCGATGGCAGGCATTATTGAAATCTATTGAAATAAAGCATTGCATTCAAACATATATTGATTGTCAAAATAATAGGTTTTCATTGCAACCTATTCAATGAAGGTGTCTCGTTATAAATACTTTCTGAGTTACCCGGAACAGATAAATTTTACAGATCCTCTAAGAACTAAACATCGCCAAAGTTACTCCCATTATTTTAATAAGGATAATCAGCGCTGGATGGTCGTTTTCAGTGAGATATTAATATCTATTTACTTCATAAAATTTGGAAGCCCAAATCAGATAATTCGCTGGATGGAAAGGTGTTAACTCGAATACCTGGTTGAAGTTCATATCAAAAATGATATGGCTTAAATATAAGATTGTATGTGACAAAGAGAAAAAACAGTGGCTTTTCCCTTTCTTAAGAAAAATTGTGAATATACCTTCTAATTGGCCAAATGATATTAAGCACCATATTAGTTTAGTCCACAAGACGTTGCTATCTGTAGCTCTCTCATATAAACTTTCAGTGTCCAACCCTTAGTCAAAGATATAGTTTTTTTGCCCATTTAATAAATAATGTTAGCGTCTTAATCGTCCTCAAATTATTCAAACAATAATAAACGCGCTCATCAAGATGCTCCATTATCAACGTATTTTATATATTGTTATTATTGACAGCAAAAATTTATATGACATTAAAAAATCACATGATGTTTTCAAAATTCCCATTAAAGACCAATGAGCCAAATTTGGAAGTAAATGTTAATTATCAGAATCTACCTTTTCGAACGAATTGAGGTAAATCGCTTCAAAAAATGAGTGTTACGTTTGCATTCCAAGCTACATGTACGGAGTAGATTTCAAACTTTCAACTCAATTTTTTGAAAGTTCTAACAAGTTAACTTATCATGAAAACTTGCCTCAGAACTTTAAACATAAAATTGTTATTAACTTAGAGAATGTATTAATATAACTTTAAATATATCTTTAATACCCAAATCTGACATTGTTTTATTTTATTTGTTTTAAAATTTTTCTAATCAGCCGGCTTTTTCTACGCTTTGATAATCTTAGTGTTTCGTCATGTATTGGAGGAACGTCGGTTTTACGTAAGATTTTTTCTTATTTTTTAATATTTTGGAACATTTAGTTATTTGAAATATTCTCAAATTTGCGCCAAAGCGTTGAGATCAGTTATTAAGGCTGATGCTAGGCCAGCTCATCCTGTTATGGAGTCTAAGATTGTTACAACGTTATGGAAAGATGGAAAGGCCATAAGTAAGATATAATTTTTGAAAATGATTCTTTTTTTCTATCTTTATTTAGAAAAGCAACAATAAGTTAGAAATGCAATACTTGAACATGTTAATAAAATGTAGCTTTTGTAGCGAAAATTCGTGTTTTTAATCTGTTTGTTCTGCTGGGAGAAATATTCTGATGATTTCCATTGTATGTGATCATTAGTATGTAGAATGCTTCGGTTTCAAATAATTTTACCTACGGTTATCCAAATGTCAACTAAACGCTTTTCTACGACATCATTGGAATTATCACTCAGTTTCTTAAAATTTTATAGTTGTTTGTCATTGCTAGCGCACCGGTTTTATTTAATGAATTCGTGGTTGACGAAATGAAAATCAGAACCAAAGCTTTTGTATTAAGTGACATCTAGTTTTAAATTTAACTCTACTTAAATCGTTGCGTCTAGGAGTGTACACACCCTAGCTCCTTTTTCTGTAGTAATTTTTTTATTTAAGGCTGCATATCTTTCTATTTTTACTTATATAACACTAGCCTTTTTGAAGATTATTGAGGGCTTTTACTGCAGATTTCAGGTGGGAGAACTATGAATAATTTTAGTGCGTTATCAACTAGCAACAGTTGAGAGCACCGCATGATCCCTTACACCACAGTCGGAGCCCTACTAGATCAGGAGTGCCACGCTTTGCCTCCCCCCCCCTTTTTTATACCTAGGCCCTTTTGCCTTGGTTTTTTTCCGCTGCACCTGTTCAAGTCGACTTTTGGGCCTCTAATTTAGGAACGCCCTTAGGGTGTAGTGATGTTGACTCATACAGTAGCTCAATGACGCCACTTAAAATCCTTAAGGCGATAAAAATGAAAAGTTAAAAATTCGTTGTACGAATTGAACAAAGTTCTGTTTCTTGTGGTAGTAGTAATACATTATAAATCATTCCAATAATCAAGAGAGCGCAACCTTTTGTGGTCTGTAAATAAGCATCAACGGGCAGGCAGACAGAAACTAAGCCGTGGATACAACAGCCGGTTCTGTTGTCACATTCATACTGCTTTCGGAGTCGCTTTTTGTCTTCACTTGCGTGAGGGATTCGATAGATTCGGCCGCATAGAACCGCACGTCACTGTCTGTGTCTTTAAGGAGACGTAGTAAGCAAGGCATCACTTCGTCAACACCAGTAGCTGCTCCAAGCTTCGACAAGGCCTGAGCCACCTGAAATGTGAACAAAACAGTTTTATTCATATGAATGAAGGAGATTAAATTTAAGACAAGAACACAAAGAGAATCTTTAGTGCTTAAACAGTACATAAACGCCGTTTGTTTTCATTTTATGCACTAGCACTTGCATACCTTAAAATGCTGACCATTTTTCACAGTGTTCTAAAATAGCGAATCGACTAATGTAGGCAGTCAATTAAGCTAAAAATGTGCCTTTCGCTCAACCACTTTATTCCATCGACAATCACTAACTACGGGCTTTATTGGGTGAGAATTATTTGCAAGTATTACTGGTTATATTATGGGCTGATGGAGTTCATCGGTTTGTCGGGGTCACACTAAGTCCCATTGATAAAGAATTGGGGCTGTAGTATTCGAGCTTTCCACCAATATGACACCTAAGTATTCAAAAGGTTAGTGCCGGATATAATTGCTAAGAGGGCGAACTCCAAATACGTAAACTTTAACCAACGCACACATAGCATTTTATGATTGCCTAAGTACTTACTAATTCTCAAGATAAACTAAGCTCTTCATTCGTTCATTCTTAGTAATTCTCAAAAGAAATTAAGAATGAATGCAATAATCCATTTTGATAGATTACCGAAGAAATATAAAACAAGATTTATTCGGATGGGCGGACTTTCGGAAAACTCCGGTAACACTAATAGAGTTAAAAGTGAAAATAGTCTGAGATAAATCAATACATATTTGTCGTAATATCGAAACAGCGTACACAAACACAAAAATCCTGCTCGGCTAATCGATACGGGTTGAATTGCTATACAGCGTTGAGAACATTGTCGACCAGTAAATCGATACGGCCAATTCCTACATTGCGCTAAGAAGTAATTGCGACTGAGTCCTAACTTATTTCCTATTTCTCCACGGACCATCAGTCTGTACAAGCAATTTTTTGTGTATTTATGTACCTTCGCACTTCTTCAAGCTTACTCCCTACCCACAAGGCCTTCCAACTAACGCCTTCATCAACCCTTTCACGCCTTACTGCGTGAAGACCCAAATTAATTCAGTAATAGCGCAGTAGGTCTTTGTAGGATTTAAGACAGAGAAGCAGTCCAAAGAAAAATGGAAAAAGGAGAGGAGTGTGAGTTATATTTTTACAAAGTTCATTTCCATTAAATAAAACTTAATGAGGTCAGATCACATTGTTTCGAGTTGTCAACTAAGGAATCTTCGCAAATTTGATCAGTGCTATTCATTCGTAAAAAATTGAAATGTCAAAAGCACCTAAAATAATAACCTACTAGCTGATTACTCCGTAGCACAAAATGAGCTTTGACCTTTCAGACTAGATTATTTCCAGGAAATTCGCTAATTAGCCAGTTTCACACATAGAAAAAAACTTTCGACTCCTAAATCCGTATAGCATATATACAGGAAAAAGCAAAGGATCTAACAGTGGTAGAATGTACGATTAGGCAGCGATTCAATGAGTTTGGCGTTTCTAAAAGAAGCCTAAAATGCAAATAGGCCAAGATTTAGTGCAAACACGTTGCTTAAAGAGAGAAAGTCTAAAAAGGAAGGTAATTATAGTGACTATACCTGAGAAGAGGGAAAATATTCAATGGCCAATCCTACTACCTACCTCATTGTAAGTGGGTAAATGAAAATTGTTCCGGTGACATCAGATTTGGCAGACGTGCAAGATGATCACTGCACCAACAAACCTCCGTACCTGAAGGAATCTATAATTTTTTAGATTCATTATATCTCCTCCATTCTAAAAATAATTTACATGTCTAATGATTTCCGCATGTTCGCTACCTCTATCAATCACCACCCCTTAAAGTGAATATCCTTTGTGATCACTTTGACAGATTTCAAATTCGTACCGCCCAATTCATCTCGTCGCGTTTTAAAACCTGGAACCAAGTTAAGCTAATGAAGTACAATCATATATCACGTCAAATGCGTACCCAAACACAATTTGAAGGTGCAATAAGCAAAATATTACTAGTTTATTATAGTAAACATATTTCCCAAGATGACCACATTTAAAGAATTACTTGTGAACTAACCTTAAAGCGAACATTAGGTACACGATCATGTTCCAATTCAAGTGTTGTAGGAAGCAGGACCTTCTTACATGTGGGAGCATCGATAAGTGGGGTTATAGAGATGATACACTGTAGTGATATCATTCTTTGAAGATAGTTCTCATTCCTACACAATTCGGTAATCTGATCCAGAAAATGATTCCTAGCCCACTCGGATCCAAATTTGGAAGTTAGACGTGTGAGATTAGCCACTGCGGCTTCTCGAACAGCATATGCGGCGTCGGCTAACCAGGTTAGAAAATGTTCCATCAAACGAGCCTCAAAGAAGGCTTGTCCCAATTGATCGGCAAGAAGGGGCGTCTGGTTAATAACTGCAAGGCGTACACGCCAGACGGGGACTTTGGCAAGTTCCACAATGGCTGGAAGAAGGGACGACGCAACTTCCTCTACACCCACCACATTATTGATTAATTCAAGGTTTCCAATGACACCTAAACGAACATCCGGAGAATCGTCTTTGAGTTGGTTGAGGATGATTGGCAGGAGATGGGATACTGTTAGGTCACGACCCAGAAGAGGAGCAAGGCCAAGTACGGCCTGACCCAACTTTACTTTTACGTGGACGTTGGAGTCGGAATTCAATTCAGCCAAAGCGGGCATGAGACGTTGAAAAATGTATGTTTCTATTTCGCTGTCGCCGAAGCCAAAAGCTTTTGGTGTCACAACTTCTTCCATTGGCTCAACTCCACCTATGTCAAGAAAAATGAAGTCCAGTAAATAGAATCAGTGAGATTTAAACGACGTACTTCCATAGTCGATGAAGTAATGCATATGAACGGAGTATGGACTGGAGTTACCTTTAACCAATGTATGAAATGCTAAGCGCTTCCATAAATCGCTTATCTGTTTGTTTCAAACGTTAAACTACCGCATATTGAGCTTATCTCGGTTGTATATATGTGAAAGAATTCTCTAGCCCATTATGGAAAGAGTTCACAATGCTTAACTTAGAAAGGGGAACGGTTTTCTGGAGGCGTCCATAAGAAGCTTACAATCTAACAGAGTTGAAAGCAAGTAGCTCACATGGAATAAATAGTGCCTCAAAATAGCCTATCCCCCTTCTCCTTACCCAGCCAACACAATCCTCTTGCTGCTACCTTGAATAAGCTATCATACAAGTGAATGCTGGTTTGCCTCAATTCACTAACCTGGTCATACTGTGACTAGCGACTTTGAGGCAAATCCAAAAACACGCCAAAGGCATGCTTCCATTTGATGAGGTGTTGAATCGAAGCTGGTAACACTATACAATTGCCCAAAGCTTATGGAAAGTGCGAAAACAAATCAAAACATTCGAAGTGGGCGAACAAAATAAAAACCCAAGAGCAAATAAAAATGAATAAACTCATAACTTGATGGAAATGGTGCACTCTAAGATCGTGATTGATGAGACGATGTGAGAGACGGCTTGAACTTACTTCTGGTCAAAGAATTCCTCCTTTTATCTAGAGCATGTGGTGCTCGAGATCTTTGTTTCCTCTTAGCTGTGTCATAATACATAAAGCAAAAACAGGCCTATGTTCTCGTTAAATTGAAAAGGTGATTGAATAGAGTCCCCATTTATCCCATAACTTACCTTCAATAATACCTTCCATGGCAGAACTATTGTTCACAGGAGCGTCGAGAGAAGTTGAGACACCGTCCAGCTTCTCTCCGCTCATTGAGTTGGAATTTGAGATAGTCTGACCGTTGAGAAGAGCTCTGGTGAATGTGGTGATTTGGGCTGCAGTAGCGCAACGAACCTCAGCAATATCATCCGCAAGCAATGTAAAAAAGAGACTCTACAAATAAAAGATGTAAGGAAATAGTAAAACGTAATGGAAACACATGCTACCTACTTTTCACCTAGGGATAAGAAGCAAGAAGCAACTGCCGAGTAAAAGGAATAAGTCGCAGGGAGCATTTTGAAGGCTAGAAGACTAAACACAGACGGATAAAATATATATTTATAAGTTTTACAGAAGTCCTCCCTTGTTAAGGCGAACGCTAATGTGGATTGAGCCACTTAAAAAGCACCCTTTCAATGAATTTGGACAATAATAATAGAAGAGAATTTTGAGAAGAAAAGGATAATAATTAAATGCAAAAACTCCTAAACATTGGTCTGCTTAATTTTGTCTCTTGCGATCAGACTGAAAAGAGGAGAAACGAACCTGAAAAAAAACATATGAAACCTGGCCGTAGAAATACAAGAAAATAACTTCTCAGGTGTTACCAAATGAAACAGACGTTAAATATTCCAAAAAAGAAGAACACAAGGAGATGAGTTGGACAAGGTGGATTGAAGAAACCAGGCTGAAGAAAACGAGCGAGTAAGAAAGGGGTGATTGAGAGAGGAGGAGATGAAGGAAGTGTAGGAGACATTAGAGGTGTAGCGTGCACGAGAGTATGAGTATGCGTGACTGGAAATACAAACACAGTTTATACAAATTATTTCTACAAGGGCGTGGGGCAAGAGCATGAGTGTATAAATACCTTTAAATGAATTAGACCAGTGATAGCAAAAAAGGGAGCTAATACGGATTAAAAGGCGAAAAATCAGACTTCATTTAAAAAAACAATTTAGGAAGATACACGAGGTCATGCTTCAACCCAATTCTTTAACATAAAGCATATAACGTCGTCGTCGTCAAGACACTAAACGGAGAGGATAGGGACTGCAAGTTTAGAAAAGAAATAGAGATTAGCTTTCACATCGAATGCTTTAGTGAAATATTGGACCTGCAAAATGTAAAAGGTGTGAAAAGTAGGACAGCTTGACTTATACACATAAAAGTTGACTGAGGCAGCACATGTGCTAAAAAATGAATTAAGAAAGCAGAAAATACGAAAATCTCTGCTTATTAAATCAATTCTGACCGAAGAATCGATTAAGTACCACAAACAAGAAACTAACATATAGAAAAGTCAGACGATGATCCTACAGACAAAGTGCGAAGGGATGGCTAAGAAAGCATAGACCTTAACAACCAGACTTTCTAAATATAAGTAAATCAAGTACTGAACTACTCTCTGAGTAGAAGCACCAAAAGATATCACAAAAAATGAACGCCTATTTAATTTACAAGGTCATTAAGAACTCGAGAAATCAGAATACCCGGTGGAATTCCTAAGTGTTAAACTCAAACAAACACCTCAATATTATTTCGTTTAAATCGATACGATGCACCATAAAAGAGAAGATGACTTACGACAAGACAATTTTTAGTGACACGCGGTCCAAGACATTCCTGCAGTGAGGTCAATTTCTTAGCCAAGAGGCATCTCGAACGCCACGACTTCAACTCAAGAATCTTCTGCAGACCCTGTACAATATGCTGCTCTGCCAACTGGGGTCCAAGTGCCCTCACTAGCGGAACAACACTCTCCAAAGCAATCAACCGCACCGACTCTTGGTCATCCTTGTAGGCGAGATCATTGAAAGTGGGAACGAGAGAGGAAACAATTTGTGCACGAGCTTCTATGACTTCTGGGGTCTCTTCGATGGGGATAAAGAGGTCGGCGTCGGTGGAATTTTGACCAGTAGGGGTTGGGATCGAGGCAGAATCGATTTCTGACTGATTTTGTTGGCCATTCACAGTTGAGGAAAGACGATCCAAGGGAAAATCTTCGGCCGCAGCAGCTGCTTCTGTCTCGGCATTGCTAGGGCCAGCGGTGCCTACCAAGGATGGTGCTGCGGCTGCGTCAGAGACTGGTGGAACGCCAACCATTGCTAAGGCTAATTCGCCTAATACTGCGGCAAGAGCACGTCGAACCATGGGTGTATCGTCACTTGAACAAAGAGAAATTGAAAAGTCACTAATTAATTGCCATAAATTGATCAGTTACTCACGTGCTGTCACACATTTAGGATAAAGAATGTCTAAGAATAGCTGTCTTCATGAGTTGGTGTTAAATGTAGAAATAGGGTGAAAGGTGCGTAATGCATGTATCGATGATACAATAGCAGTAAAATGGCTGTGAACAAAGAATATGAAATAATTCAACCGCCTTATCGCACTCATTTCGACTTTTCCCCTAAACCAAGATTATCTTTCTCAGTACTGGCTCCACCAAAACATCAGATCTCTCGAACACAAATTTAATATTCAAAGTTAATCGACGCGCAATTTCACATGACTGTTAAGACACGAAAGCTAATCATATAGAATGGCTCTAAATCATAACAGCGTTGGGAAAAGGTGCGTAACAGAACTGCACAATTTTTACGACCAACAAATGCCCAGCTTTTCACAGCATAACTTAGAATGACAGAAGCAGCAGCAATTCGCTGCCAACCCAAACAACAGCACATTCCTTAAAATCGCCCACTCCCAATTCTCGTGACCGATTTAAGCGATTAGTCATTTCGGCATGATGATAAGTGACAAGTCGCCGCCAAAATTAGGATGGCAGCAAGCCAAATAACTTGTATTCAACAATAAAAAGACGTAAATCGAACAATAATCAGAAGATGAAGATGCAGATGACAATATACTTACTAAGCAGAAGAAAAGCATTCTGAAATTGGTAAAAAAATTCACCTTTTATTCCTCTATTGACAAATATCAAGCATTATAATAGGTAATACTGTTCACTAACAGTGAGCCAACTAAAATCAAATCGGTTTTCACATGCCATTGTTAAATATAGGCCTTCTTCTGCAAGTATCACTTTCTGAAATTATCACAAATCAGATATTAGTAAAGAAAGTGTTTAAAGAAGAAAAACGCAGAGGTTTAGAAGTTTCTTGAACTCGGCGTGGTAATTAATATGCCTATCTAGGAGGATAGAGGTCAGGGAACGAAGGTGAATTGATTAATCGCCGAATATGCGTTCCCAAATTTGCTTGCATGAATGTAAATAGCACTTATTACTGAAAATAAGAGGCTCTACCAGTGCTGGACTTTACCGGTGGGTATACTATGAAAGTGAAGAGGCCAGTTAGAATCGTTTAAGCCTGAGCAATTTTATACATTAGTTCTGGTATCAAACGAAGTAGAGCTGGTGTGTGAAATGTATAATTAGGACATAATTAATCACCTCATAGTCTCCCATCGAACATAATTTCTTTAACCATGTAAAGCCAAGAAGATAAGTTAATATGTGCATAAAAGTAACGATTTAATGCGAGGAGAAACCTTCATGCACTAGAAAAGAAATCTTCAATATGAGCTCAGCCTTGCCTTCAGTAAACATAGTATGGAAAAGTATGGGCTACCAGGGTCAACATAAGCGGCTCGATTTTCGACAGTAATTAAAACTCGGTAAACTTACGTCGTGAAATTCTGCGCAAGAGAAAGGATGTCCAACCGAGCAGCTTTGTCAACACGTCCATAGACAACAGCGAAGAGGCCACATGCAGAAGCCCGACTGCTGAACCAATCTCCAGTTGCCAAACGACGAACAAGAGGGTAAATGTGCTCACGCAAGTCCCTATCACTGTGTTCTCGAGCTAGTAACCTCATGGACTGAACGGCCTTTTCACGAACATTTGCATCTTCAACCTTGTCAAGAAAATTATAATTATAGCAATTAGGATAAGGCAATCAAAATGTGAGCTTTCTTTTTCTAATGGGTTTGTGAGATTTTTAATAGAGAAAATAAAAAATGAAAAGCCTTTTTATCCGACATAAATAGGCATCACAATTTCAATCTAGTCAAACTCAGCATCCAAACTAATCTCCAGATAAGAAAAATGGGGACAAATATGAACCTTTTCAAGGAAAAAAAATTACAATTTGACTTCCCCTTCTCCCCAGTGAAAGGAAAGTTGTGTGTATCATCAACCAACTTTTGCAAATAAAACGACCATCACCCAATAGTTCTCATTTTGCTAACTGAATATCTCATCTAAAGCAATAAAAAAACATGACTAATGATTATTTTATCGAAAGATGTGAAATGAAAGAAACGGACCTAATTCGATTTAACTAATTTTATTAACAAATGGAGTTGTTAATTAGGCCAAGGGGACAGCTAAGTAAATAGGAAAAAGAGCATTTGAGATTGATTACTTAATTAAAAATTTGTAATGGGGAAGCCTATAAGACAAAGAAAGAGGCTGAAATAAAGCACAGAGGTGACAATTAAAAGAAGTGCGCGTAATTACGTAATTTAAATGGGGAAGTTAGGAGCGTAACGAAAATAGGAAGAAACAGCTTGTGGGATAAAGAACTATAATTCAAATTTTAACGATGCTAGACTCAGTTAAAGAAACACAGAATGCAGTAAGAAACCATAGATCAAGAATGCCAGAGGTCGTCAGTCCTACAGTTAGCCGGAATTGTCCCTTTAAAGAAGGTTAATGAAAATATTTGAAAAGGCAGGGATGGTAAAGATGAATACTTGATGTTTGACAACTGGGAAATATCAAAGAACCGAATGACGTGCTTAAGAGAGGAAACATGATCAAGTAATCGCAATAAAAGTGACAGATGAATGACAAAAAGGGACAAATGCGAGGCTTGTGCAAGGTTACATACTAAGAGCTAATTGAATTTATATTAGGTTAACATATCTTGAAAAAGTAAGCTTCAGTAAAACGTCATTCTAGGGCCGAATAAAAGGTCTCAAAAACAAGACACTGTTTAACACTCGAGATAGAAAGAGACCATTACTTTTCAAGACCGAAAACTCACTTAACTCTCCCACTAAATGAAATGAAATTTAAAAGACAACTTCGTGAATTATGCCTGTTTAATAAAATGTGGTAAAAGTGATAATAACAATAGATTGAGAAAATGTGGCCTTAGGGATATTTAACATTACTAAAATTGGCGATGGCAATGAAATTAGCATTTTTTATTTATTAACGAGTTGTAATCACACTGAATTTTAAAAAAGCAAAATCCGTTTATCACAGATACTTTTGTTACAACATTTTCCTGCGAGTTTAAGGAAGCAAAAGAGCTCTCTTTTACAAAAATTGACAAAAATATATCATGATTGGAAAAGCTAAAAAATTGCAATGTGTGAAATTAACTAGACACTTTAAAACCTCACTAAAACAATATTTAACGTTAAAAACAGTAAAATCGAAGACGCCGTCTTGACTATCATTAGTCAATTTTCACGAAATTCGGCAAAAAAACAGTAGTGAAATGCATTTAACAAAAAAAGCCCATTTAATTTTGATCGATACGAAGACAGATGGAGAAAATCACATGATGGACTTTTGAAGGTAATTTTGTAATTTTGGAGGCATTCGAAAACATAGCTTATTAAGGACATGAGAAATATGACTAAATGGGGTTTATCAATAAAGTTTTAAGGTTATACTTATCATTACGAACTTCTCACGGCAAAAAAGCAATGAGTGGAAAGAAATTCAGTTACACATTCAAAGAAAAGTATTAAAGATTAGTCAATCGCTGAGAAAGTGGAAAATTATCAGAAAAGATAGTACACAGTACTAAAAATGAACGCAGAAAAGGGGCCCAAGGCAAAAATATACACACTGGCAAAGACAAACAAGACGTGAATAATGATACATAATGAGAGAATACGGTGCTTAATATCCTTAAAATACTCATAGCTAAGTCCTATTATCAAGAAGTACAAGAAAGCCAAATAGTCAAAGTTTAAAGGTCAAGTAATAACCCCTATCTTAAAAAATCGATAATGCTTTCTTGCAGTGATCAATCAAGGTAATCGATTTAAAAAAATAAGCAAGGGTTGTTAAAAACAAATTAAAAACATTAATCAAAACAGTAGATATTGGAAATAAAAGAGAGAAGAATGTATAGTAGAGACACTAGCAGTCTGGACTCAAAAAATATAAAGGCCCAACTTGAACAAAAGGCATTTAAATCTAAAGTTGACACACGTCGCACCTGAGAGAAAAACTAACGAATAAGACAAGAGTGAAAAATTAAATGCTTAAAAGCTAAAAAGTTGAGAAATTCTCAAATGCACAATAAGCTACATAGCACACTTACCAGAACGAGACTTTCTAATGGATTAATTAAACAGGGGGCATATGCACAACCACCGACATAGGGGACAAAGCGGCCTAGTTCTTCGGCAATTGCAACCATAACATCTTCAACATCGTAAATGGCATCAGTAAGAAAAGGAATAAGTTGTCCTCGTGTCTTCTCTGGTCCAAGGGCTAAGGCGATTGTTGAAAGTCTTTGAACACTATTTAGACGAAAACGGACATCCTCATTACGCAATTCCTCTATTAAAACAGCAAGTGGATAAAATTCCTCTTCCTCTTGATTTATACTTGGCGCTCCAATACTTCCAGACTCCTGTTTTTGGTTGTCCGATCCAATGCTTGTTGGTTGTGGATTCATTTTAAAACTTAAGGAAAAAAACTAATAAGCAACAATAAGCCAATAAATGAGGATAGTGATATGAAAAATTAAACCTCATTATAAAAAATAAATAGGAAAAACACAGGGCTGGAAAATAAAGTATACATGTAAAAAATAATTAACAGATGCACAAAATGGCGAGAGTACGAACTTAAAGTCAATCGTAAAAAGGCTATCCAATCAGGGTTGTGAGCATATTAAGATCTAAAAGTTATATGATAATGACTAATCTGTGTTAGAAATATATCTTAAATATTTCTTTAAAATAAATTTTAATGAAATAAATTAATGCCATTACTAAAAATTTTCAGCACATATCATTACACCAAATAGCGGCCTTCTTGTTATTTACCATTGGCCCTTTCGTTGACTTCGGATTTCACAGAGGGGAGGAAAATCAAAAGTGATAGACATAAAGGAAAAGAAAAAGATAAGGTGGGATGAATACAGAGGAAATTGTCATACATGATAAACAGTCAGGTCATGGTAGCTTAAAATCAATTGCCTGTTTACGTACCTATTTAATGTATGGATATACGCTATCCAGGGTACACCACTTGGCGGTAGATTAAGCGTTCACCCCAAAATGGCGAAAATATTCTTATCATGATAATGCGTGAATTGGATTTCTCCCAATGACGTGTTCGCTTTCGTTAAGACGAGAAAAATTATTTATGCTGAGCTAATCACTTTTAAACACTTATATAGTATGTATGGTTTGCAATTTAGTGCAACATTTGACATGCATAAAACCAAGTTAATTAATCATAGTGTGTGTCGAATAATATCTTATATAAAATTAAATTATCACAAGCATTTTCAGAATCTTAAATAAGGGCCATGCATCACTTTTAATATCGGTATTTTCTGCTTTAAGAATTTGGAGTAAATGTAATTATAATTGTTTTGAAAAAAATCATTTATCATGATCTTGATTTATTTATCAACGGAAAAAGAAAAAAATTTTTCCCAAATTTTCAGGCTGAAATATCGGGTTCGATCTCTTGGTTTCTATTAATATGATTTTTTAATTAATACAAAAACAACTATAGCTCATTATATGAGTTAACAATGTTCTAGTTCTTTAGGATCGGATTGATTCGGACTGCTAGAACTCGGAATGTATCTTAGTCGAAGCTAATTTAATGTCGAACCCCCCCCCCCCCTCCTTCCCCCTCCAATACAAATGAATTTAGAAAAAATGCGAAAAAGAGACAATGAATGTAAATATGTTAAATTAATGTCTCAAATCAATTTTTGAAATCTATACTTATTGAGGGTTCCGGGCCAATTTTTTTTAAAAACCACGTAAAAGCTTATGTTTTATTCATACGCATCTCAAATACCATTGGTATAAATAAGCTCATTTTATATTTTGAAGAGTCTAACTTGGCCTAGTGATAAAAGCCAGTTATCCTAAGAGATCTCTGGGAATCGTAATGTCCGTTGCGTAAAAGCCAAAATTATGCCATATTGCAGAAATCAATCATTTAACAAAAATATCGTAGATTAGCAAATAAACATATTGTATAATCACGAAATTAGTATTGTGAACTAAAATAAGTAGAATCTACATTGCGCAAGTTCTTAAATACTTTAATTTTAAAAATAATAACTGGGGACCTTGATTTGGGTGAAAGGGCTGCCGGAGAAGTAGCATTTTTAGCCTGTGTATTTTTAAAGTGTAAGATGGCTGCACCAGATGGTGATGAGAGTGAGCTATTGAAAGTTGAGGATGGTTACAAAGCTCCAGAGAAAAAGACTATTAATGAAATAGTAAATATGGATGCTGAGGATGAAAGCCTTAGACGGTATAAAGAGAATCTCCTTGGTGGAACGAAGATTGTGAATCCTTGTATGCCCTATTTGCCTTATTTTACTCATTTTAGTTCCCGATGATCCTCGCATATTTATTCTGAAAAGTATACGAATTTGTATTAAGAACGGGCCTACACATGAGATTAATATTGACCGTAAGTTGTTTTCTTTACTACATTCCTATATCGCATTTCCCCAAATTATTTGCGTTTTAGGTCTTGACAATATTCAAGCAATTGAAATGCCAGAAGGGGCTCAATACCATGTAGAAATCGATTTTTATGTAAACCACGAAATCGTTGCAGGGCTTCGCTATGCTCAGAAAACAAGCAAGAGCGTCTTTAAAGGTGAGTTGTTTTGTTCTTTGTTCAATAATTTGTTCTGTTTCCGTTACATGTACATTTTACTTTCCCATTTTAGCTCTTTTGCTTAACTCATTTTAGTTTTATTAGATTTTTCGAGTTAGCATCTTTCTTCATTTTACCTCTTGCTTTTGCTTCCTATGTACCTTCATGTGCACTAAACTTGTAGGTGGAATTCAAAAATTGTTTGCTCGTGAGTTTTTTATATCCAGTTTACTACTTTGCTATGTGATTGTTTAATACAGTTAAGCGTCTCCCCTCTTTTCATCGCTTTAATACGCTGCAAAGTCTTGTTTTCTTATTTGTGGTGCTCTTGTGTCCAGATCGTATTTTGTCCTAAGTATTATCTTGTGTCAATTTAGATATCTATTGATGTTTTAGCCTTTGCAGCATTCAATTTTATAATTATATAATTATAATTGAATAGTATTATTTACCAATTAGTCATTCCCTTTCGTTTAAGTAATTTTCTATTGCCTTTGAGTTGGTTTCAATTTTCTGCTATCTTACATTTGTGTAGCTGACTAACCTTGCATACATGCTCATACGTAGTCTTAAACTGATAAGGAAGCTTCGTAATATTCTCCCTTAATTCTGAAATGCTTTTCAGCGGTCGACAAAGTTGTGCTGGGAAGTTACGGTCCCCGCGCAGATTTTTACTCATGGCGTTCGGGAGATGAAGAAGTCCAGTCTGGAATTATGTTTCGCGGTTCCTACAAAGTCACCAGTGTTTTCACAGATGATGACAAACATGAGCACCTAAAATTCACATGGGAGATAAAGATCGTCAAAGCAGACAAGTGAACTCTGAGTGCCCCTTTGCTAATCCCTGTTTGTTGGTCCATTCCCATATCTTCTACATCCCAATCGTGCTTCCGATCGCCGCGCCTTCATGTGACTAATCGATATACTGAAATTCTTATAAAACCCTATTTTGTCTTTTTCGAGGTACTGGTTTGGGTTTCTCTCATAAAAATATAGTTCGCTCTAGAAGTCAAGTTCAAATATTAGTTCTTTTGCTTCATTTTTGGAGGGATTGCATCATCCAATGCATTTTATCTCAAATCTGTGAAGGGGTTGAAATCGCGCTCTATCATCAATTTGAATTTGGAGCTTTATTCATGAAGATTTGCTTGGATAATAGGCATCAGGTTTCATCTATAATTGCTTGTTATTTTCTGGCTTTACCTAACCCTAAGCTATCTGATAGTTTGCATGACTTAGTCTTTAATTTGGATTATCAATTTTTGTTATTGCTATATTCAAGCAGTCTCAGCTGTTGCTGCTTACCAATTTCGCTGTAACCTTAGACGCTTTTTTTTTTATTGGGCGATATTTAGTCAATCGAGCGTTTCGATGTTGCATTCATATATCTGATTTTGGATATTGCATTTCGTATGCACTTAGTGGGCGCAGAGATTTGCGCTCATTCAATTTCTGTGTATTTGCACTCAAATGTGTGTGTGACTAATGAATCAGCGGGCCAAACACTTCATCTGCGTTAATGTGGGCTCTAATGTCAGATATTTAGTATTTTACAATATTAAGTTTGTTCTTAGTTATCACACAATTCTGATTCAACTTATTTAATCAGCTACTGTGTTGCTTAATTCGAATAAATGATCCTAAGCATGGAAGTATTAGAGTGGTCATTTGCTCGAATGTGAAAAATGCATTTATAAGTGTGTTTACTGAAATATTGTCGAAAAAGACTTCATAAAATACTGCACTTATAGTTATTAGTTCGGATTGTCGGGGTGGTTTATCCCCTTTTGTTTTTGTCTGCACTTTCGGTTTTGTAATGTTCAATCATTAATAATTGAAGACAGGAATTCAGAGAATGTGTTTGCTGTAGGCACGGCGCCACATCCTACTAAAATTCAAAGTCACAGTACTGCAAGCGGAGTTTAAAAAGTTAATCATATTAAGGAACAGCAGACGCTAGGTAGTCAGGCCTCCGCGATCAACCCTGGCTCTTGAAAGGGAGTCCTCGGAGCTATTATTTAAATCATAACCACTTTCAATATGTTCCGGTGCTTCAGTGACATACTTGTTTCGATCGCAGGTTTGTACACCTTCCAGTGGTTCCAATCATATTAAATAATACTGTTTTCTTGCTATTTCTTTTTCAAGTTACCAATACATTGAGTTTGCATTTCCAATTAAGATCACAATACGGTATTGGATTTTGATCATTCTTCATTGTTCATCATTCTTTATAACTTTTCACATTCAAAATATCTGATTTGTCAAGTGTCAGATAAAAGGAGGTAATTACTGGATGATTGAAAAGTCAGAGTCTCTAGTCATTTAATTATTCTAAAATCTGGCACTTTTCTGCTTGCTGTGCGATTCAAAACCCGATAATGATTTGTTGCAGAATCGGGTGTCTAGGTCAATGCAGAATCCACTAAGAACAATAAACTATTTAACGCCCTTATGACTGTGTGGTCCTGTTTCAAAATAGTCCCCATTGATATTAGACTCGTAGCGGATAGTGCTATTACCGTTTGAAACATGTTCAATACCTTTATGGCCTTCGCCTAATGCCACTTAAACTCATCACCTCGGCATCAGTCTTCTGTGAGACACGCATGAGTGCGGTTATGTGCATTATTCAAAAAAATATTTCGGGTGTTAAAGGACTAAGTAAGTCATTTCTGAAATGGAGCTTTGACCTATGTGAAATTCAAATTTTGAGGAAAACCCTATGCTAAGCGCTTTTCTCATGCAGCAAAGTATAATAACCGTTAGACAATTGAATCACCTGAAATATGTAAAATAGAGAATACGTTGTAACGCTTCGACGATTATATCCATTTTTAAACATTTATTGGCAATTTCCGATTTTTTGTTAAAGTAAGCGCCTGTATTTTTGTAACTGGTAAGGCAATTGCTTTTATGTCTGTTTTATGCACACTTAACATTAGTAATGAGTTGAAATAGTTCTTCGGCACTTTAGTGGTTAGAGCCTACTTCTGTGATTTAGCACAAGCCAGAACAGGACTCTAGAATTGCCGTGCACTGAGGTGGAGTGAACAGGTACACCATGTGGAGCACTATGTATATACCTTATCGATCTACTTACTGCGCTGTGTGCTATGTGTGTCAGCTCTTTGCTGGCATGCCGAGGCATAGATGTAAAGGAGCGTATACTTGTTAGTGTGCATTCGTGCGTATAAACCTGATGAGTGCACGCACCACATATAGGCCGCTAAAACATGATCGTCTGCTGATGATGAATCCCGCTATCAGTAATTAATTGCACAAATTTGCTAGAGAATTCAGCGAATTAAAAAACGTTGCAAATATGATAAAGTCGAGACCGATTTACCTTGGCATGTGATGGATAAACATGAATATTGTTACTCTTGCTCATTTGACTAAATAATTCAACTAGGCTTCTTTTCAGAAACCCGAGAATGATCATTTATCAGAATTTCCTGCTTTTTTCTGTCTTTCAATTGCCTTCAGACAAATTTTTGTTAATAGTCTACAAGGCAACTAAAGAAGGCGGCTTCAGGGGTGGTGGCAGTGGTATTTGACATCGATGTGTTTGCATCAGCCGGCATTAGAAGATGAAGTAAGTAAAAAAGGTATATGACAGTACTATTGGCAACAAAGTGTGATACCATTTCAAGTAATTTGTAATAGTTATTAGCCACGATAAGGCAAACAATTTTATAAGCTTTAACCATGTAAAAAAATAGTAATCTATTTTGCAAAACAGGGGATGATGTTGGGGGGATGAAGAAAGCCAAAGTTGGAGACTCAACAGGATTTCAGGCTTAGATTAATGGAAATCTTCGAGTAAATTTAGGAAAGCTTTATCTACTGCCCATCTAGGGCCAGGAGAGCGAGAGGATCATCAAGTCTCCTTATTGGGCAACCCGAAAACTGCCATCCCTTTTATTAACTGATTATTCTAATCCTATCGCAACTTCTGAATGGACGATATAAATTAAATGACTTCGTGGGACTCTGCAACCATCGACTCATCCCATAATTCTCGTGAGATCATGTTTTCATACAAATCGACTCATTTAAGTATTCTTGAGCTATTCAAATAAAATTTTATTTATTTATATCAAATGGCAGGCGTTTTGATAGTTAACATTAGCCCTTTAGTTGGCTTTAGACTTCACAGGGGGGGGGGGAACAGAAGAGTGTTTCAAATAAAAAACATTCAAATAAAAATAATGAGTGGTTATTTGTTAAGGATGAACCGCGTGGCAACGAGGGGAGGTTGAAAGTGAATGAGCCATGAATAACCCACAATGAGTTTTTATTCATGCTCTTCAGAGGGAAAATGCAATGATACATGATCAAAAGTAATACCCATAACAGTACACATAAAAATTAATTTGTATTTATGGAAAAACATCGAAATGTTAAACACTGCAAAGGGTTACAGTCATGCGTCTGCGAGGTCAGGAATGTAGGCGTAATCATTGAAATAAGTTAGACAATATACTCTTACTCTAAATTAGCTTTTGAATTTAACTCATTCATATTCAAAGGTTCAATATTCAGGAATGGTTATTAACGAGTTGGTTCGATAAAAGCAGTTGGTTGTATCAACCTGAAACGGTTTCAATATAGTAGGGATCAGTAGAGCGATATATTCTATTAAAAATGAGATTTGAAAGAAAGTCAGTCCTTAACTTACTTCATTTGAACCAAGCCGGTTAGAACTCGCTAATTGGGTAGAACGAACCACTGCAACTCTCAAAGTCCAAAAGGAGTATAAGAGTAGGAAGGTTATTAGTTGTAGGTTAGCAACAGTAAACGACTGTCCCAATGGTAGAACACGAAGACTATTGTAGGCCAAAGTGCACTGAATATTCCCGACGAGGATTCGAGAGATTAACAGGGAGATGAGGGGAAATTAACGTTCCATTGGTTCACTGTATCGTTTTTCATAGGTATAAATGGAACTGGTTGCAGATACAACCATGTAAATTGCTTTTGATTTAATTAAGATAATCAGGCGATAATCATGGAAGAGGTGGGGCTCTGTTGTATATCTACAAAGTGGGTACCCAGTCTTTACTTTTCTCTGAGACCTAAATTATCTCGACCTCACATTGGTGCATTCAATACTGACCCTGCCAAAACCTCATGACTGTTAACAAACTCACAGTGGTACCTGAAGGGCTTTAACCTGCAGTGACCTCATGCGGTTTATTTTAAGCATCGATATAAACCACCCAAGTAGTTTTTGTGTGAGCTTTGCTTGGGTTCAGTTTCCTCGATCTGCGATGACCGGAATCATCAATCGGCTTACCTATGAACTTACACAAAGCCCTTTTTATAACTACTCTGAGGTGAGGTTTTCTATCTTTTTTAATCTCTAAATTCTTCACTACTCCTTCATTTTTTAGTCAGTGTTATATAACACATTCTTTCTGTTCCGCTTGACCTGGTACTTTTGTCTATTATTACTCGTAGCCCTTAATTCTTTAACCTTGCTTTATGTAGTTGCACAATTTCTAAAAGCTTGACCATAGTCTATGGTATGGGAGTACTTCACTTTATGTTCAACGAATTGGAGTGTGCGACAGAATTACCTCCACGTGGTGACCCTGGGCAACATATACTCATGCAGCAAAAAAGTCTATAAACAGGCAGTTGACTTCTGAGTTCAAGCTATCATGACCCCAATGTATGTCATATATGACTACTTTCACAGTACTCACCTCACCTTTCATCTACCTTTGTGTCCGTCTCTTGCATCTTTAAAACACTCTTCTGTTCCCCCCTCTCAACTTTTTTCGATTTGATGTTCCTCTCCCTCTGTGAAG